CCTGGGGCGTGTGGGGTGGCAGGGCCCTGCCCGTGAGCCCCACGGTGGCCGACGCCGTCCGCGCTGCCCGTGCCCCGCGCGGTCTCTCTGCCCGTGCCCTGCCTCCCGCCGCCCGCCATCCACCCCTCCTGCCTGCTCCCACCTGCCTTCTCCCCGCTTCTCCCTCTGCGGATGGCACTTCTTCTAACTCGCAGCTTTCTGGGTGTTTCGGAAGCAGCACGTCACGTCTACGTTGTGCTTGGGGTTAACTGTGAGTCTGTTAAAGCCCTCTGTGTGCGTTTCTCCAGCGTCCGGGACTTTAAACCGTCTCGTCAGCGTTCGCCCATTTTACACGGGGTTCGTCCCTTTGTTCCCTTGCTGTGTCCTTGGCCGTCCTGGCGGTTTTCGTGGTCATCGACTTGAATCGTGCTGTTTTACCACGCATCGTGTGTGCGTGTACATTGGGTACCGCGTGTGCGTAGAGTAAGTGCGTGTAAGGTTCCTCCCGTAAATCCACCGCCGCGGGGCCCGAGACCGTCACTCAGACTCGCTCCCCTGCTCACGATCATACATCAGAGTGGTTTTTATTCTTCTCTTTGTTAAAGATAATGGCTGGTTTTTTTCCTAATTGAGCAAAGATGACTAAAGAGATTCGATCTCTAAAGGAACGTACGCATGACTCCGGTTGAAACTCCGCGCTGGCATGCAGTTCACTGAAGACTCGGAGCCTCATCCAAACAGAACTGCTTGGTTTCAGTCCTCTGTCTGTCTGTCTGTCTTTCAGGGTCAGCTGGCAATGAAATGCCCCCAGCGTGGGCACAATAAGAAGCCACAAAAAGCCTGCATTCATTTCGTTATGTCTGACGTAGGTAATTATGCTTTACGCTCAGTGGCTTCTGGAAAGACTTGCATTGACTCACAGAAGGAAATTAATGTAGAACAGGACAAGCTCAGGTACAATAGAAGGACGCGTGTGAAAGGACTTGGGACACCTGGGAGATGCCAATTCTAACAGCTGGGACGTGTACCGATCGCTACAGCCCGGAGGAAACACGTGGCTTTGCGTTTTGTCTCAGAGTGAGGCACACGCCGCTGTCACAGGAGGGAAGTTTCCCGGGAACGAGGCGGAGGTGGTTGCGGCCGCATAGCGATCGATACCGCGCAACAGGAAACGGAGCGTTTTGCAGAAGATGCGGAAAAGTAGCTGCGACCCGCACCATGTGGCAGACGCCGAGGGCCTCACCTGAGTACACAGCCAGGGAGGTCACGCGTGTGCCGGGCGCCGTGCCACCGGCCGGAGTTCAGTGTCCACCTGCCGCCCTGTCATCGCCGCACAGCCCCAAAGACGTCTGTGTCCTCGTGCCCCCAGGTTTCCAGCCGGGGACGTAGGCGTGTGTCTGGAGGCCCCGCAGTCCGAGCGGCTCAGGTGGCAGGTGGCCACCTGAGCTCAGAGCCTGTCACACCTGCAGTTTACATGCTGCTCACGTTCGCCCGAGAGCTTTGCTTCCTGACGTCGGCGACTAAAGTAATAAGTCGCACACGCGGAGGAAGAGGGTGAACATGGCCTTAGTATTTACACGGTCGCCGACTCGCTCCCAGAGGCCGCTGCCGTGAGATGTCACTCGTGTCCGGTGGTTCCACTGTCGTTCTGTGAGCGTCAGCGTCCGCCAGCCCCTCGCTGGCTTCATGCGTCCCTCATGTCTGCGTTCCTGGTGACGCCCGGTGACGCCGACGCGGGCGTCCCAGGCCACCCTCGGTGACGCACGCTGGAGCCCAGGCGGCTCCGCTTCTGTTGAGCTCCATCGTGACCCAGGCGTTGCCGGGTCCGGGCTGGGAACCGGCCGCAGGTGCGTTGTCCCCTTGCTGTCCCCGAGGTTGGCTCTGGGAAGGGCCGCGTCCCTGTCCCCGCGTGCTGTGCATGCCGGGCCGCGGCCAGGTGGCAAGCAGTGGCCACGCCCGCCCACACGGCCTGGTGCTTCGGCGCGGGAGCCTCCCCCGGGGGCGGCAGGGGTGCAGTCCGGGCCGTGGAACCATCTAGACAGACGCGGTGAGGGCCGACTTCCGTGGAGCGAGGTGATGCAGCAGAAGGCGGCGGGCAGCGGGCCGGCAGTGATGGGCCGGCGGTGACGATGGGGACGCTTCGGTGGCACGGTCACACTTCGGGAGCCTCGGCGCTCGACAGGGCTGCGCTGTGCGTCGTGTGCGCGGCGACGTGAAGCTGTCGGCCGCCGCTGTTGTAGGGTGACTGGCTGGAGCGAGTCCACGGACGCTGCTCTTTCTCCTCCACAGGCTGCTCGGTGCGAGCGTGGCCGAGGCGTTCGGCCGTCTTCAGAAATGATACAGTGCCCCGGTCTCTCGTTCCTCTCGGATGGGCTGATCCCAGGCGCTCAGAATGCTCTCGGGTCTGCGGCTTGTCATCCGGTCGGCGTGAAGACCGAGGTGCAGTTTCCCAGGTCCTGTTGCCTCCTGTGAGCAGGGGCCTCGGGGGCCGGGGGACGAGGGACGAGTCTGTCACCCCACAGGTCCACACCGCACTGTCCTGCTGCAGGAAGTGACACCACCGAGCGTATTAACTATGGGATTCGTGGCTTTTTTTTAAATAACAGTTTAGAGGAGCAGTGAAGTGTTTCTTGCTTTTCCTCCGTCGGCTTGAGCTTGTTCACAACGAGACCGGAAGGGTTTCCTCCAGGACGCAGTTTAGGCTGGAGAATGAGTCCCGTTTGCTGTCCGGGATCGGTGTTGGAGAAATTAAACGTTTTAAAATAACCACCGGTGATTAAAGTAGCATTTACCTTGATGGCGTTTATGAACTTCTTGAAAAAATTATTTGGGTGGTTAAAAAACAATTTGTGTTTTTTCAGAGCTGCAAGTAAACAGGGAAGCGTGGGCGTATTTTACCGTCGTCCTCAGAATTCTGCCTGCTTGGCAACCGCCAGATACGCATCTGGCACAGACTCCTTCAAGACACGGGACAGAGAGGGCTCGTCACCAGAAACCGAGTGTTTTCAACTCTTTCTGTAAATAGCAGCAGTAAATGGAAGTAGAATAGCATTTGCTCGTGCCACTTGCGATAAGACACTTTAGGAGAAAGTTCCAGAGAACTCGGCTGTCGCTGACGGGTGCAGCCCGAGCCCTCGTGGTTCGTCAGGTCGCTGCCGGGTGGGGGCCTCGCTGGGGCGTGGTTTGGGTCGAAGCCATTTCAGTTCCTCCTCTGGGCATATTCTCTGGGGATTTCATTCTCATCGGTGCTCTGCCCTTCTGGGTGGCCCGTGTCACCTCCGACACTGGATCAGGGCGTGTGGGGTGCGTGTCGTATGGTATTGCTGACTTCCTGCAGCGTAAAGAAATAAATCACAATCCCTCTTTTTTTTCGCAAACGCGCCGCCTGAGAAGAGATTTCAGACGCCGTCCTGCGGAAGGAAGGGGCGTCTGTCTGCGCGGCCGCTTCGGCCCGGCTCTCCCTCCTGAAACTGTTTTCTTCTGTTTTCCCACCAGATCTCGAAAACTTCAAAGGCAGCCTGAGGAGCGCCGTGTCGGTGCGGGAAGGCCAGGGCGTGGTGCTGCTGTGCGGCCCGCCGCCCCACGCCGGGGCGGGCGGGGCCCGGCGCGTGACCGCGGCCAGCGAAGCTGCAGCCTGGCCCGTCCCGCCCGTCCTGGGCCGGAGACCAGGCGCACGCCACCGCGGGCTCTCTGGCCCCCTCCCGCAATCACACGCACGAGCGTACTGCACCCCACAGGCCCCGCCGATGTCTGCGTGACGCCGTGAAGATGACACGTGTGCATTCGCTCGTTTTCAGTGGGACGTGGGAGCATCAACGCTCGGCCGCGCCGGGGTAACTTCAGGTCTGGAAGTTCTGCCGCTTAACGAGCCGGCTGCGGGACTGAGTGCCCGGCACGGCCCGCGAGGGCGGGCCCGGTGCCTCCTCCTCTCAGGCTCGCTTTGCGAACTCGGTCACCTGGGGGAGCGACACGCGCATTACTAGGGAATGAATGTTCTAGAAACATCGTCCTGTCAGCCGGGCGAGGGTGCTGAGCCGTGAACAGGTTGGGGGCCCTTTCTGGCCAGAGGCGGAGGTGAGCAGTCCTCCTCCAGCGAAAATGTGCTGGACTTCATTTGTTCCGTGATGGACAGACCAGCGTCCTTCCCCCCAGTGACTTGTCAGCTTCAGTCACAGGCCTCAGCCGTAGACCAGCAGACCAGCCTCTCCCGTCGTCAGCCCCGGAGGCGTCTGGGCCAGCTGGGGTGACAGGCGTGCGGTCCCCCGGGGGCTGGCGTGGTCAGGTCCACTCCCATGACTGCTTTGCTGGGGTCTGGGGGGAACGAGGGGCTGGACCGTGGAAGGGCAGCTGGCGTGTCCGTCTGGCACACGGGGCGGGCGTGCTCAGCTGCTTCCGGCAGCCCCATCAGGCTGACACGGGCGCCCAGCGGGACACGTGCCTCGCGGCGGACGGTGGGGTCGGCGGGTGGCTGCGGCTCCCGGCTCCATCCCAACCTGCCTGCCGGGGTCTTGCCCACCCAGGGGCCGCCCACCGGGGCCGACAGGCCGCGTGTCACCCGGCAGCTCCCCTCCCGAGCCCGCTCTGTCCCCCATTGCCCGGCTTCGGCCACCGTTGAAAATGCTTTTTCCCGAACAGTTTCGGCGGCTGCGTATCTCCCAGCCCCTGGGCCGGGGTCCAGCCGCTCCGTCAGCAGTGGCCTCAGCGCTGCCTGGCCCTGATTCCCGTCACGCAGGCCCCTGTGGTGGCACAGGAGGCCCTGTCTCTGCCCTGGCCCCGGGGGCGGCGTTCGGGGGACTCCGGTGGCTGTCCCATCAGCCCACGCTCAGGCGGGGTCTTCCTGAGTGACACGCACTGTCCGTTTGGGTGGCCTTTGGGTCACTCTTGGACACGGCATCTTGGTGAGTCCAGGGTTTTAAAGGAGCCTTTTGAGGGGGGCCTGCGAGTCTTTCCCGGGGGGGGTGGGGAAAGCCACAGAGCCGACGGTGTGGGGACGGGAGCCTGGGGCGCCAGGCCGCCCCGTGTCCTGAGGGCGTCTCGCAGTTCCACTGCCACCGCCTCCACCCGCCTGAGGCAGCGTCAGCGAGGGAGCCGCGTGAGCCCCGTGCCCACGAGCCCCAGCCCGTCTGCGGCTCACGGGACACTGCGTCTCCGTGGCACACGGCCTTGGCTCAGGGCTGCCTCCAGCGGACAGTGACCCGTGCCGCTGGGACGCGGGCCGGGGCGGCGTGTGGGGGAGGGCGGGAGGCGAGGCC